TCAGTTCTTTCGGATGGCCGGGCATGGAGCTCGCATCTTCCAGATAGATTCTGCTGCTGCCTTTGGCTGAGCGCATGAAGGTACGGTGGGTCCGAGCCCGGAAAACAAATAAAGGTCAGTCTAACACACAAGATGCAAGACTTCCAGCCGAACCGAAGAAGTCAAAACCTCCAGTTCCCAAGTCTCCGGACAGCTGAAGACGGATGGCTCTTCTGTCAGGAAGCAAGTACTAACAAGCTACACAGTAATGAACAGTGGTTGTCCTGATGAAAGCTGACTTTCTTCCCACCGTTTAAAGTTTAGGGTGTAGGCCCATGGACAAACTACTTAATCATCTGTTTTGCCGACCTTTGAGGTAGGGTCGGGAAGCGCAGAGTATGACCCTGTCTTGCCCGGCATCGCCTGTGCCGCCACCAGGCGCCGCCAGCACGGAACCGGCAAGTGCTGCAGATGCGATTGGGAGCAACATCCGGGCTGGGTTGTGGAACAACTAGTTCAACTAGAACCGTGTAGACACTCCATGTATGCATCCATCTGCGCACGTGTCTCCGTGTCCTGCGTTTGCGTGTATTACGTACGTACATATATATATATATGTGTGCATGTACCATTTGGAAGCGTCTTCCAGTATCTTACAGTATTCTCGCTGTCTGAGATTCTGTATGTATGTATGTATGTATGTATGTATGTATGTATGTATGTATGCGTGTGTGTGGCGAACTGGGGCAGGAAAACGAACAAATAGATGAATTCATGTGTATGGGTGTATATATATAAACAAGTAAATAAACAAATAAATACATATATATATATATATATAGACCTGTTGATACGATTTGCATATATGTACATTCAGACACATTTGGCAACAGCCCAAATGAACATATATGTATACACATGCATACAGATAGATGATATACCATGTACAAATGTCTACAGTAAACATGCGAAAGATCGTAGTATGGTTCTCGAGCAAGGGATCTGGTGTTAATTTTGCTGGTGTGGTTGTAGTCATGGCCAAAACTCGGGCCCCCAACGGCAAGCTGACACAGGAACCCGGAATTCAGGGATCATGCAGCCTATGATCTTCGTTGGGGCCCCAGGCGTAAGCAAGAAGACTTCCCACAAATGACCAGCTTGAACCTAATTTGAAAACGGACGTTCAATTGCATCGCCAAGTCTGTGTACGCTCTGACTCTAACGGTAGGGCCCACGGTCTGTGGATAACCAAGCCTGTGAATTGAAACACGCTCTAGTGCAACCGCCTGACAAACAGTTTCCTGCAAAAACTTCGGGCATGCATAGAACACACGGAACACACGCGCTCTATACCATTGCTCTTCGGCCCCTTACGCACTAAACCCAGACCCCTCCGAAACACAACATCCGCTAAACCCCATTGACCAATTCGTGGCCTTCTCGATGGGGATGGGGAGGAAGCTGAACAGTGCCTCCTGCGCACACAGGTACTGCTAAGGTTTCGGGTTTGGGATGGGTAAGACTACGGGGAGCATGAAGCAAATGCTTTCCTGCTTGGATTGGCTGCTTCACTCCGATTTGTCTATGTATGCATGGATTGCCTCTGCATGCAGGGCAGAGGAGCCAACATCGAAGGTGGTGACTACGCGGGGCCAGGTTGACGGACAGTGAGGCTGCGCGAAGTTTCAATATGTTCGGCTCGCTGGTTCGAGCCACGGCAGCATGAGAACATCCGTGAATTCTATAACCCAACTGCAGCATGCCAGGTCTTCACATCGTCCAGTGGCCGTCTGTTCAAAACGCACTGTGCCAAGCCGATGCAAGGGAGATCACGAGAAGTCGCTCCGACATGAAGTTCCTGGCGATGGGCCTCAAGGATATGTAGTAAGTGCAGTACTGTAGTGCGTAATTTGTAGTCGGGAGCCTTCATTCTGCACAAGCTCAGCCATGCTGCCATGCTACTTAGCAGATGATGCCATGGTTAACCCAAGCTTGTCCGTTTGGCCAATCGGCTCTCTGCCCTATAGGCCCTTCATGCAGTCTTTGCCAAGAACGCCACTGTGGCATGATATCTTTCCTCAGGCAGCTCTGACCTCTACTACAGTACATTAGTAAGAGCATAACTCTCAGCATGGTTTGGTGAAGCAGCGGCAAAAAACACTCAATCCAAGCTTTTCCATAACCGGGCTCAAGTTAGGCATCCAAAGGAGCTCTGTGGAGACAGCAAAGGACCGTACTACGACATCGTGGTAGGATTGTCGGTAGCAACCACCAACAACAGCAACCGAAATGCAGCATTCCTGAGGAGCCCTGCATAAACTCATCGAGGCCCTAAGATAAAGCCCTTTTCCGAATGTCTCCTTGGACCACCGCCACCGGATCCACTGTCCCCGATCTGTAGGTCTGGCAGGGCGGCCGCATGCTGCCGGTGCTTCGGAAGGAATCGTGTTTCTCCCTATGGGCTTCAGCGAATCAGGTTATCATCCGACCCCTGAAGTGCAATGAGCCTTTAAAGGAATCCTCATGTGTCATGGTAACCCTGAACGGAACCCTAGCTCTCCATTCAACAAGACGAATCAACCCTGAATCCCGAGCCCGACAGCACCCACTCAGACCTTCCAGCTGAAAAGCTCTACCAGCACTAAGCCCGGAATGTTGGAACCCTCTTGCAGCCCGAAGTCGCCCCAAGACCGGACGGCTTAGACAAGCTGCGGCGCTTCGGGCCGTAGCCCCTGTTTCTGCAGCTCCAATCCAATCAATTCCCTGCGACGCTCTTTACAGACTACCCGACATACTGTGTTGCACAATGCGGTCTCTACAACTTGCCTTGTTGGATTCTGCCCTAAGCTGCCCGACAAGACCAGGCCCGCTGCGTTCGTACACATCCCGTCACAGCCCTCTTCCAACAAAGTCTGCGATCCTCTATCCTGTACAAGATCAAAACTCCTATAGAAATAACAACAATGAACATACCAATGCGACCCCTGGATTCTACTTAGTTCTACTTAAGCCCTTTGGCTGTACATGCCGCAGCCCAGCCAGTCGAAACTCGAATCCTGAAATGATGAGCGCCCTTGCTCAGCCCAGCCCAGCAAAGCAGTGACACGAAGGGTACTTGTCAGGTGTTTTTTGCTGCATGTCTCCGGAGACACCTAGAACTTAAAGACTCCCACAAGGCTCTCAGCCAGGTTCTTTAATTGCCAATGCAAATGCGACAGACCGAATCCGGAACAGGCCTAAACCCCCTGAAACCGCAAGCCCTTTCCTTCAGAGTTTCACCCGGCTGCCAGGTTTGACGGGGCAGCTGTGCCTTGGCTTAGGCACTGCCAAACTCACAACTGTGCCACCGTCGCCAAGACAACCACCACCCTCAGCATCCTCGCCGTCACCAGCATCACGAAGTGACCATATTGATGAGAACTGGTGTTAGCCATCAGAATCATCAAACATCGGCATCAACTGTCGTCGACCATCGTCAGCTCAACCATCTACGTCATCATGGTCATTAACATCAGTGTTTTTGGCCAGCATCCTCAGAATCACCGTCAACAGTGTCATTGTCATCCCCCATCGGCAAATATCGGCAACAACCCAGTAATGTTCACGCAAATTTTCGACCGCAGCAGCAACAGCAGCAGCCACAGCAACGATAACCATAGAGGTTTCGATAGATGATCTCAAGTGTCGCATTCAACTCCAGTCAGAACCCTGCTGACCTGTAGGGCCTATTTTGCTCTCCGGGGCTTGGGTCTGAGAAATTTGGTGTTGCTAATGGCTCATACTCTGCAGGGAAAGTAGTCTGTCTGATCGTAGATAGAGGATCTGCTCGGAGATCTCAGCGACGTAGACTCGGGACGGTTTTCCGGAGTAATATGTAGAATCTGAATCAAACCTGTTGCGATTTCGGAATCGGAAACCTGCATGGACAAGGTAACACTCGCGACATGTGCCCACTTCTTCCAAGCCACGCCGTCTTGCACCTGCTGAGCAAGCTTTGCAACTTCTGGTTTGGGGGTTGTAGCGATGCTTTCATGACACTAGTGCGCCTTTTTGAGGCTTTGGACCAATCTACATACACTACCAGTAGCACCCGTCTGAAGCTCAACAATTGAGAGTAGAGTTTGACCTCAGCATGCTCTGGCATGGTGCCGTTCGACACTCACGCTCTCCGTTCTAATTAAAGCAGCTGATCTCCAAACCTGGACATGAGTCTTTATGACGCCTGGACATTTGGTACCTGTTCGAAAGGGTGCCAGTGAGACAGCCTCACCATGCCCCAGGCAAGCAAAAGAGAGAGAGAACGAGGAGAGAGAACTACAGGCCCTTAACCTTGCAAACAAACATGTTATAAAATCCTAAAGCTTGCGTGGTCTGGCCCTAAGCCCTGCGCCCCTAAATCCTGAGGCTCAATCCTCCGCCTTCCTCTGTAACCAGATAGCTCCACAAGTCATTTTGCAAACCCGAAACGAGGTCCTGGGACCCCGACGAAACCCTCCTGTGCCGCCAGTAGAGCATTCTTCTCGCGGAGCTCTGAGTTCTTTTCCCTCAAGGCCTTCAGACTGTGGCTTGTCATGCTTTGTCATTGTTCGCCCTGTGGGACTGGCCGTTGCTATGGTATGGCTGCCTGTGTGACTCTGTAACAGTGTTAGCTTTTGCTACTGGCCGGGGCGTGAGCACGGTTACGAGTATCCACCTCTCATAGACACGGGCGTTGGCCAGGTTCTCTGAAGGGTGTCCAACCACTCCCCAAAATCACTGAACTCAACCCTGAAAGCGGACCACGGGAGCACGTGCATTCAATCAGCGGGGCGTGCACGTTCTGTACTCGCTTGCTTACCTACTGAAGGGCTACCCGACTCAGTATTGCACCCAAATGAGCTTTTTAATTGCTTGCCTATGCTTGCCTACTTACTTGCTAGCTTGATTGTTGGCTGACATGTTGTTCTCATTACAAACTTGGCGTCGGCAGACGAAAGTTGAAGCACGCGCGCACAAACATGCAAACACACCGGACCCGATGCCTGGATGGCGGCGATGAGCTGCGTGTTCCTGAGCCAAGCCAAGCGGAATTTTCTCGAAAGCAAGCAGGAGGGTATTTCAGGGTCTTCGCTAATGATTCCAGAATATTTCAAGGGCTCGACTTGAGCGAATGTCTCGGCACTGAAGCCCTTGATCGCGCTGCCATGCTGAGCGCATTGGCTTACTGATGTCTTCGTCGCCCTGCAGCTGCAGCAGCTGGGCGAGCTGTTGCTCCATGTCGGCCTCCGCTGACCTTGCGACGGGGTTTTCACTGCATGGGGACACGTTGTTGCTTCGGAGGCCTAAGAGACATGTGTGGCCTTGTGGCCTTTGAGGGGTTATCTCTCAAGGTTGGGATTGTCCGCACAGGGCTCAGGATCCTTCCTGCACGGCTCCTCCAGCCTCCAGGATGAGACACTGAATTGGCCAAAATATCAGGTTTACAACCAGCGCGGAACTTCGGTTGGGCAGGCTGAACATTAGCATAGAAGTGTCTGATTCTTCGAAACTGCCCCGCCCATTCCATAGCCCGTCGTGGCATGGGCCTCGCTTCGGCAGACGGTGCAGAAACCTCGGCAAGCAACCACATTTCCCGTTCTTCTGCCTGCTGCATGAGAAAACCACACCGGCCCCAGCTGCCATGTAATGTTAAACTTCCTCTGCCTGCAGGCAGTGCTCTAACAATGGAAACAAATCAAGCCACGTAAAAGTAGCATGCAATACTGCGGGGATGAGATGGGGTCACAACGACAATACAACCTGACACCCATCGATTCTAGGAATGCATTTGGCCAAACTATGTGCTGCAAAACGCTGATTGGCCCAAAAAGCATAACCACAGTCACCTTCTCCGAAACCAACCCAACTTGGCCCCTGGGCCGTGCTGTCGGAGGCCACCGTGCCCTAGCAAGAGGACAAGGTGCTTGAGGTTTGGCTTCTGAAAGGCTCTTCGCTGAGTTGCGCAGCTCAGCCGGGGGTGCGCAAACCCTGTAGCCTGCTTGGCTCCCCATCCATCCCGATCCAAGCCGGCCTCAATATCGCCAGCCAGGGGCTGGGTCACGGTGTCGTGGACGTGCTTGACTAGAAGTCCTCAGGCGGGACAACTCTGACGACAAGAACCCTCATCAGACTCAATCTCGCATTAAACGATAGACTGATAAAGATGAGGCCTTCACAGCTTCAGGCTCCCAGACCGGAAGTTGACAAGCAAGGGTCATAAGCATCAGGTCTTCTAATATGGGCTACTAGAAAGGAATACTTTAACTCATTTGTCCAGTATCATGGGTAACTATAGCTATAAAGGTTAACCCTTTAGGATTATATATAGATTCTCGGTTCTACTCTACTATTTGGTTTCTAATTAGGTCAATCGCTAGGAACCCCAAAAAATGCCCCAAGATACAAGCCCCCTGGGTTGCTGGCCGACTCGGTTTCGAAGGTCCTTTCACATCAAGCACGAAATGGGAGAGAGCCCGAAAGATTCAAGGCACCGTCACTTCGAAGAGCATCGGGGGAGATCCGATCCTAAAGTTCTGGACTTGACAGGGTGATGTAGAACTGTAGGGTTTCCTTCTGCTCACCACGGCTTGAGCTCAGGCATGATAATTCCTAGCTCGTGGAAGCAGTACAAGTAAAACCAGCATGACTATTCCTGAAGCAGCAATTGCAGTAATACGATCACCCATGTGACTGTCACTATGAAGATGACTGCAGCTAGGATTCTGGCAGATCCTTTAGCCAAGGGTTCTCGAAGCCCATGCAAGAATACCCAGCTCTATGTCCACAACCCCTGAGCCCGGTGCTCATCTTGGCGCTTCAGTATTTGGCCTTTAGGCTTAGGATTTAGGGGCTTAGGGGTGCCACAACTCGAAATCCTAAGCCCCCGGAGCGAAAGATCCCACATCTCGCGGCTGAAAGAGCTTCGGCAACCCACACCCGACAAGCCCTGCGCCCCTCACTGAAGACTACGTTCAGCAGCGAGCTGTGTACGCTGCATGAATGCTGGCCTCGGGAATGAGACTTCGGCCTGTCAGCCGTTTGCAATGCAAGTGGGAAGGCTCAGCTGGAAAGAGGGAACCTCACGGTTGCTGCCGCTCCAAGCTACCCTTTCGGTATTCACAGTGCGAGCAGCCCTGATGCTTCTCTGGCAAACGGAAGCCTTGGTAGAACACAGCCGTTACATCATAAAAACCAGCACTTCGCAGCAGTTTCGTGACTACCACCCCTTCAGACGAGTACCTGAATGCCGAACACAGGAATGCTATACCTCGACACGTCAAAAACGAAAGTTATGCTGACATAGCGTGATTACAACTTGTAAAAGTACTGGGATGGCCCCCGGGGAAAAATTGGGGTCAGTCCTGGCCCATAATGCCAGACGCTACGCCAACTGCTTTCTTGAACTGCGAGCAGCACACTTTTTACGGCGTCCAACCACCAGCATGCCGCGTCGTTGCACTGGTTTGCAGTGGTCAACACGAGTGTTCCGGGTGCCATGGCAATCAATACCACTGTTGCAGCAACCCACGTGATCTTTAGTGATGTTGGTGCACGGCAAATATTATTGTTGCTCTTCGTGACAAGAGCCGAATTGGATATGTGTGCGACTCCCAGGATTTGAGACTGTTGCAAGAAATGCTTTTCTGAAGCGGGCGCTTATTCAGATGCAGCATCTGCACAAGCAGTCGGCGACTCGAGCTTCCCTGGAAATTCTGCAGGACTCGTCACGACGGAATGCTATACATAAAGAAATCGCGAAGCTTTGATTAAACAATAAAACACAAATCATGAAATCATGACAGCCTTGCGTCACGGCCCCAACAGTTTCAGGCGCTCACGTCTTCATCGCTGAGCAGCTTGCACCAGATCCTTAAGTCCTTGGCGATGGCATCCAGCGGATTCACCTTGAAGAACAGTTTGTTCGGGATGCTGGCATCCACCACGCCAGCCACGGAACTGTAGCCGTCCATGACGGCTGCTCTGCCTTGAGCACTGATGCCAATCAGAAAAGGATGTGAGGAGTGGCAGAGGGCCTTGGCTGGAGGACCGGCCTTTGTCACCTGGTTCTTCGCGACCTTGTTCGCCTTGGCTGCACGTTGAGTTTTCAACAGAGACGTCACGTCCGGCACCTTGGCGAAAGTGACGTCCGTCACGGAGTCGTAGACTACCATGACCTTCTCCTTGGAAGCGGAAGCCACCATTCGGCCAAGGCGGCGATATGCGGCGTACACGTTATCCCAATCAGCTCGGGAAGTTACACCTTTGGGGCCACTGATGCTTCCGATGGCCTTGTGGTGAGCCTCCGCGCGAATCAATCATCTTGTCAATTGCTTCACAGGACTCAGCGGCTCAACTTGCCAGGGGCCTGGCGAAAGATGCCGTCGTTCCAGTCGGCCTCCTCTTCAGAGTCGTAAGAGGCGTCCCCGAGCTTTCATTACCGATCTGATCGGGAATGCCGCTGGAGCCGTCATGCTGGCAGCCGGTGCCACAGCAAGAGGCTCCGCGCTCCGGCGCCGGGGCAGGAAGCTCCTAGAGTCTACTGCTAGAGAGGCCGTAAACCACCAGCACGTCCGCAGCCACGGCCATGCCAGCTTGAACCACTGTCAGCTCCGAACGGCTGATACAACATAAAACCCCCCAAGCCATGAACCGTGGCTAGTACTCGTGTTTTTTTGATGACCAGTATGGTCATGGTGACGACGACAAAGATGAACAAAATGCAGTCCTAACCGTAATGGTGGTGGTGTTAGAATAGTGATGGTGATGATGATGATGGTGCTGATGGTGGAGGTGCTGCTGATGATGATGACGGTGATTTCTGCGCCGTTTTGATTAGTCGAGTTAGGTCTTAATCTTAGCATAACCGGTAGCAGCGACCGTTGTTGTATGTTGTTGTCGCAGCAGCATCGTCAGGCGGTACTCATATCTATCACAAGAACCGACGTTGTCAGGATCATCATAAGATAAGGAAGGTTTCGGGCCTACCAACCGTGGCAGCCGCTCTGCTGCCGTCGGTTCACGGGCCAGCCTTCGGAAACTATGTTCGCGGGTTCGGGCTCCCGGGTTCGGGCTCCTGGTTGTCGTCAAGGGAAGAGGGTTAGAGTTCTAGGGACAAGGTGCCTTCTGACGGCCGAAGCCTGGCATTCGGAAGGGAACAAGAGCACCCACGATACTAGAAGCCATAGAACTAATATGTAATAATGAAAATGGGTATACTTTAAATCAGTTAACCATGATACTATTGGACACATCAAGACTGACACATCAAGACTCTAATCTGAAGATTTGTCTCAGATTTACCATAGAAGCTCAAGTGGGTGCTTGGCTTGGTATGATTGTCACTGGCGAAGCTTTAGGCTAGGCGAACCCGTGTACGTCGAGACCAAATCAGGACATCCGAATTTTTTCAGACAAACCCTACCAACAAAAGCCCTTGAGAGGTGGAACACACCAAAACTCTGAAGCCGTTGATACGACCCAATGATCAACTCTGAAGGCTTTGGCACCGGGCTTGCGCTTCAAGACCTCGACCTGGGCTGCCGTAAGATCTTTCAGTGCTCTATAAGTGAACCCTAAGCCCTACACTTTACGTGTATGTATGCTTTTTGGGGGGTGTTTACGCTCTCACAGCGACTTGACTTATTGTTTAGGGCTTACGGGCTTATGAAAGCTTCGGCTATAGTTTGGGGATGTAGGGCTTACACTGTCGGTTAAGGGCTGATTGGACTGTCGCACACTCGGTGAATGTGAGTTTGGACGGAAGTTTCGGAATTGGGGCCAAGAATGCCGGTGTTCTGGTCACCGATGCATTCGTCATTCAATTCTAGTCGCAAGGTGGAGTCTCCCGCTGATCTCTGTAGTATGCACGTGCCTGCGGATCACGGTAGAGGGTTGACTCAAAGATCAAGGACGGCATCGGCACAACCGCGGCTGACAGTAGAATTCTGGGAGCTCGCATGCGAAAAGTTGCGGAGAAAGAGGAGGCGAAGCGTCGCTGACCTTCCCAAGGCCATGTTCCCAACACTCGCGGCAACAACCCAAAGTCCTAAACCATGAACTAAACAGTACAACATCCCCACCAGGGGCCAGGGCATCTGACCGCAGACCTGGAGCAAGTGGCAAGAATCAAGCTGCGAGGCTTCCGTTCAATTCGCTTCAGGTTTTCATGGCTTCAGACAGTATCCCAGTGGAGGTTTGCAGGGACCTCCAGTAACCAGTGAAATATTCAGCTGCAGAGACTCACGCAAGGTTGATTTGGGACCCTGGTTCGTGCTTTGCTTCAACAAAGCCCTTACTTTCTCTTCTTAGTTCAACGATATTCCCTCCGTCTGCCCGAAAGGGGGTCGGCCTTCTGCGATGCTGTTGTCACGCCCAAGTCGAGTGATCTCGGCCTGCACCAGAAATCATCGTGGACCCATCGGTTTGAAAGATATAGGGCCATATAGGGCGTTAAAGCCAATCTCAAACCAAATCAAAACCTTGCTCTTTTAGGGGTAGTTGAGATATTCGGATGGCAACATTGCTGCAACAAGGAGGCCTTTGCGAAGCCACTCTTGCAAACTCACGCTCCCCTAAACAATCCGCCCGGAAGCAGCCCCAAACTAGGAAAACGCAAGCTGCCTCCGCAGCATTCAGGCGTGCTGTGGTGGTGTCCCAGTCCCACTTGCGCAGCTCAGCCTCCAAGGCCTCACAGCTTCTAGAATTACTGTCAGTCTCTCTGTATCTCTAACTCTCTATTTCTGGTCCTGTGGGCTCCATCTTCTGCAGGCATTATAAGAAGCCACTCTATGCCCTACTCCAATCCACCATAGTGGCAGAAATAACAGTAAGTTATCGTCGTGTTTTTCGTCGTCGTCGTAGTCGTAGTAGTGGAGGTCGAGATCGTGGTGGCGGCAGTGACGGTGACAGTGGTGGCGGCGGTGGCAGTAGCAGCAGCAGCAGCAGCAGCGCCAGCTCCAGCAGCAGCAGCAGGAGCAGTAGCAGAGGTAGGTAGGTAGGTAGGTAGGTAGGTAGGTAGGTAGGTAGGTAGGTAGGAGGTAGGAGGTAGGAGGTAGGAGGTAGGAGGTAGGAGGTAGGTAGTAGGTAGTCAGTAGTAGGTAGTAGGTAGTAGGTAGTAGGTAGTAGATAGTAAGTAGTAAGTAGTAAGGTAAGTGGTAAGTGGTGGCAGTGGTAGTAGTAGTAGTAGTAGTAGTACTACTACTACTAGTAGTAGTAGTACTAGTAGTAGTAGTAGTAGTAGTAGTAGTAGTACTACTGCTGCTGCTGCTGCTACTACTACTACTACCACTACTACTATCACTGTTATTGCCATTACAACAAAAACAACAACAA